ATACACTGTACATTTGCTGGGGCTGAGTGTATTGCTGAAATAGAAAAATTAAATTAGGAATTATATATTCCGTCTTGGAATGCAACAGATGAGAAAAGGTCAGCAACAGATTCATCACTGAAGATGCGACAGAGTCATTCTAAACAGACACACAAATTAAGAGCTGGTCAGGGTTTATTCTGCCGAAGGGCTAAATATGTTAATCAAGCTGTAGCCTTGTGGTAAATCTGTATTACAATCGGATACTAATTTACTAAAGAAGCTGAGAATCTTTAATGCAAAATTGTGTTTATTTTTTTATTTATTTAATTTCTCCAACATTATACAGCGCAATGCAGAATACCGCCAGCTATAATGTACTATTGCTGGGTGTTGTAGTCCTCTATAGCTGGAGGTATTCCACTGTATAATGTATTGCTGGGTTTTGTAGTCCTCTATAGCCGGTGCCGTTCTGCATTCATTGCTGTATAATTTTACACTTTTCATTTCACTATATTGCACACCACACTTTTTTTTTTCCTTTTTTACTTCCACCGCTCCAAGCTTGCTCCTGTGATGGACTACAATCTCAATACAAACTAGTAATCCATCACTGGAGCCATTTTTAAAATTTATTTCATTTTGTAATTTTTTATCCGATTAATCGAACTTAATAATCGGTTAACTAATCGATTTTGAAAATAATTGTTAGCTGCAGCTCTAGAAACAAGGTTTTTATCTCCTTGCATTTTTGCATTGTGGAAACTTTGGAAAGTACTATGTATTGTCTTCTGTTCTATTTCTATGGATACATATACCTAGAAGAATCTGTGACCTCTGATGCAATATAGAACCTCAAGGTGGACAATGTAAGGATGTGAGCTCTAGCCTATTTGTGGGTGAAGTGTGACACAAAGATGATTTTAAGTGGTATTTCAACATGTGTGCGTATGGTTTGAGCACGGCTTTTAGATTTACAAGCTGGGACGGGTTCAAAGAGAATTTGTTTTGCACATCATATTGACACTAGAAACATTGAATGTATTTGTTGTAATACACTGGGACGTTATACTGAAGTGTTTTTCTAATTTAATGGTGTAATGTCACAACAAACACTCTCACACACTTTAATAAGAGATTTCCAATATACTGCCCACCACATCTAAACATCCCACTCCTGGAAGTGTCAAAGAAGTCTTAAGGTACAGCAGAGAAGAAAAGGCCAGTGTGTACCAGGAACTTGGTTGATGTAATTATAGGGCATAAGAGCCCATTTTAAAGATGAGAACCACTGAACCATCACATTCTCAAACAATTCATCCCCGCACAGCTACCTCCTCATGTATCACGTCTCCCTCCCTTTTAGATTGTAAGCCCTCAGGGACAGGGCTCTCCTTACCATCTTGCTTGAATTTGTATTCCGATTGTCATGTCTTCCTTATATTGTAAAGCGTTGCACAAACTGTTGGCGCTATATAAATCCTATATAATAATATAATTATAATGCCTGTAAATGCAAGTAATTGCAGATTT